TTTGCTTTCTTCGGTTACTTTAGGAGGTCAGTGATAAGGATTAAATGACATGACACATGTCAGTACTTAACACCCAGTCTGGCACATAGAAAGCAGTTAATAACACTTAGCTACCATGGTGATGATAAAGATGGCACTATGAGATGGTGTCGTACTATTTCTAGCTCTCAAAGAGTATGATATAAAAATAAAACAAAACAACTTTTGTTTTCATTGTAATTTATTCACTAGTAGCATAAAACATGATTAGTGACAATGCAATCAAAAATGTTTTCATTTGTTTCTCAAGGGTGGTTAGACTTCATGTGAAAGTAAGTTTGTTTCACCACCACGGTGGTGGCCTTTGGGTAGACAGTACCATAAGGATTTAGATTTCTAAAACAAAAGGTAAGAGAGGCCTGCCAGAGGGAGGAATAGTATGGATAAAGGCACTGCAGGGAGATAACAGGATACATTAAGAAAACACGAAGTACCACACTTTGTGTATGGCATGGGGTTCAGGAACGAGATTCCTGCTGCTACAATAACTGATAGCTGCACATTCCTGGCATTACCTATTTATTAAGTGCTTTATTTGTGTTACTTTGTGTGGTTTTTACTGCTCCTGTTTGTCTCCTTCTCTGTTAAATAATTTGCCAAGTTTCTAACAGCTAGTATGGGGTAGAGTTAAGAATTTGAGATCTGTTTGACCCCAAAACCTCTATTGGAAGACTTGAGAGGTATAAGGAAATGTCAAAACTGGCAAAGACTCTAAAGATTTGGGACAAAATTGAGGGCAGGTGTTTATTTCTGGCTGGGTAATGCACTTTACAATTAAGTCGGTGAGAAATGATGGCTTGTGCAGGTTTTGGAGAAGAAAAGCGTAGGAAGTTATCAGAGTTCTGTTTTGAGCAACTAAAACTTTATGTAATATTTCAAAATATATCTGATATTGAAGCATATGTGGTAGTTATAAAATCTGCCAAGGACAGCTGTAAAGTCAAATCCTTTTTATAAATCCACCTGACAATTAGCAGAAGCTCAAATTGTTCTTTGGTTTCTGACATTTAACTCTTGCCCTACAAAATGACCCCTTACAGCTAAAAGTAGCTCACTCTTATTTTAATTTTTACATTTTATCAAGCTGTGATGACAGTGACCAATTCGTTGACACTTATACTTGATGACAGTTAGACTCATGGTTCTTGAAAAATACTGGGTACCAAATTCTCTTTGAAGTTAATAACTTTAAAACATTAGTTGTTAAAATTAACATGAACTCGCATGCAGTGCTGATGGAAGTGTAAAACAATGCAACCACTTTAGAAGTGGTTTAGGAGAGTCTCAAAAATTAACGCATACTCTAACTGTATGACCCAGCAATTCTGTTTTTAAGTATTTACTCCAAATAAATAAAGCATGCATGCACAAAAATAACTTGTATAAAAACGGTCATACTCTTAATCATAATAACCCCAAGTTAGAAGCAACCTAAATATCCATCAACAGAAGAATGGATAAACAAATGCTGACATATTCCTACAATTGAATATTATTCAGCAGTAAAAAATATGTATTACTGATATGTATATGAAGCTCAAAAACATGTGATAAACCAAAAAGGCTAGACACAGAGTACAGTTTCTATTTATATGAAGTCCTAGGAAAAACAAAACTAGTCTGTGGAGAAAGGAGTAAAAATATTGATGTATCTGTGGCATGGAGAGGGACAGAAGATATTGATGAAAAAGGTCAAGAGAGAAGTTGCTGGGATGATGAGAAAGTTCTATGTCTTGATAGGGTTGTGGATTGCATGTGTATGCATTTGTCAAGACTCACTGAATTTGACATATATATTTCATAATTTAAAAGTTTTAAGACATGTGTTATAATATCCCTTTGAAATTAACAAGTTTAAAATGTTGACTTACCAAAATGCCTTTGGAATAAACTTTGGAGGTTGACATGGTTTGACTCTGTGTCCCCACCCAAATCTCACCTTTTGCACCCATAATCCCCACGTATTATGAGAGGGAGCCAGTGGGAGATAATTGAACCATGGAGGCAGTTTCCCTCATACTGTTCTCATGATAGCGAGTGGATCACACGAGATTTGATGGTTTTCAAAAGGGGAGTTTCCCTGCACAAGCTATCTTTTTGCCTGCCACCATGCATGTAAGATGTGACTTGCTCCTCTTTGCCCTCCGCCATGATTGTGAGGCCTCCCCAGCCATATGGAACTGTAAGTCCATTAAACCTCTTTCTTTGGTAAATTGCCCAGTCTCAGGTATGTCTTTATCAGTAGCATGAAAATGGACTAATACAGAGGTGATATATGTTTTAAATTAACAAAATGAATTTGGATCTGGACATAGTTTTACTTAGTAATGTTTGAAATATTTTTAAAACAAGTGAAGAATGAGTTGCAGAATGTGTGTATGTATGTGAGTGTGCACATCCCTACTTTATACATTTATTCATTTGTACCAAAAATCTTCATCAAATGAGTGAATAAAATATGAAATGATACACACCAAAGACAAATGTGAACTCCCAGTTATAAAGTTCCAATCGAGTCTGAGTTCAAATTGTGAAGTCTCAAATAAGCAGTAGCTATTAAGAGTCAAGGAAGAATAAAAGAATATTTCATGTTCATATATTTCAAAAAAATACTAATTTCTATCAATATAACAATTTTTAAGAAAAGTAAATTTTCCATGTTTACAGCCAACTATTTATACATTTTTTAGCTTATTTAACTGTGGGATAATTATTTTTTCATGCATACACACAATCACAGAGATAATGATTTGAAAATTTTTTAAATAATTTGTAATTTTTTTGTTTTTAGTTAAATTTTCAGCTCTTCATGAGTTAATTCCCAAAAAGAATTATTCATGTGTTTTTCAGTATACAGAATACAATACTGTTCCTTCAGAATACAGAAAAATATATATTTTTCTATAGGAATGTTTATTTTTGGTATAGGTAGCCATTTTTTCAAAATCACCTTTAATGAAATATAAAATTACATACAATAAAATGCATCCATTATATTTGCATTGTTAGTGAATTTTGGCAAATGGGTATACCCATGTAATTATCACCACATTCAAGATATAACCTATCCATTGCCTCAGAATGCCCCTGTGGTGTTTCCCAATCAATGACCTACCCAATACCCATCCCTATTCGACCATTCTTCTTTTCGTCGCTGTAGATCAGGGAGCTAAGTTTGTAAAGTCCATAAAATATTAGACATTTCTTATCTCCATTATAACTAAATAAAATCATTTCAATTGGTAAGAGGTAAGAAGTATATAATCCAGAAAACTCTTCCCTCTATTTCACCTTTCCATGACAGTAGTTCTATCTATGTGTTCCTCCTCTGCGCAGAAGTGTGGCAAAGGAAAATGATGGCAGCTGAATCTGAACACAGCATATGTTAGTACACTTAAATACTCTTTTCTCTGTTCACAGCTCTTCAGTCTATGATATTGCATCCAAATATATTATACTATAACTTATATGCATTGATGCAGAAGGTACAAATAAAATAAGCTTTTTTGTCTCCAGTCACTTAAAATATCTTAATCTTGCTGCATTAGTTTGAGGGTGGTTTGGGAAAGACCCAGAAAGAGACAGAAGAGTTAAGCTGATATGTAATGGCCACATTTTGTGCAGAGAGATTTGCTTGCCACTCCACTGAAGATCCTACAACAATTCAGACATACAAAAACATAAGGTTCATTTCACCAATTCATTTCTCAAAAGCAACTGATACAGAATCTAGACAAACAACAGAAACTGAAATAAAATATTTTTCCTATCCCTTCAGGAAAGTCTGTGTCAGAATCTTGCCATATGGATCCTGAAGGGATACATAAGCCACTGATAGCACAATTACATCATTACCACCACTTGTACTGACTTAGTCATTCCTGTTTTGAAAATCCTGCCCATCTACTTTGTAATGAATCTTCAGTTTGGTCTTTGGACTCATTCTTCTTATCAAATGTTTGTTTAAAAATTGAAAATCTCCCCAGGATTAAGTACAGGAAGGTTACTAATACATACAGGGCTACTGCATGTGGTAGTGAAAGTGTCCTGTGCACAACTACAGGGGTGTTCTCTATGTGTGATAATGTCAATAGTGTCCTCTAAACTTGCACAGTGCACAACCTACACCACCACACATTGAAGCCTTATGCATATCCTCAGCATTTTATAATAAAAATGATCTGATAATAACTACCTGTTCTCCATTTTATTTTACAGGAGCTACCAAGTTTTACAGAGCTTAATGTTTGATTTGACAAAATAGCAGTTTTACGTAGACTTTACATAGGATATGAGAAGTATAGTATTACCCCACAAAGGCTTCCAAATAGAAAATTAAAATATCATTGTTAGCCAGGTGTGGTCCCTCATGCCTGCAATTCCAGTACTTTGGGAGGAATGTTTAATTTAAGGTAATAATGCTATGTCAGAGTCAGCCACAATACAATGACCTGTTAAGGAAGATTGATGGTCTACAGGCATGAGTTAACCTTTTTTTGCATGGCCTTAGTTCTTATTTATAATTTGGTACTTCTTTGCCACAAGGAATCTGTTTTGGCCATCTTATGACCTCTATTTTAACATGAATGTGAGTTACTTGTGTCTAAACTCAAAAGGGAGAGGGTATAATGAGGACTGTTGGATCTCCCTTTCCATCATAACCAGGAACTTGATTTTTAACATTTCTCTCGGGTCCTCTTGGCCAAAAGAAAGTTCATTCAGCTTGTGGGAACTTAGGATTTTATTTTTAGTCTACAAATATCATGTCAAAATTGAAATAGGTTACTTGTAGTCATTAGAAGTAAAGGGGACTACCGTGTTTCTAACTGAAGCATGTTTTACATGTTACAATTTCTAAAAGATCATCTACTATTTATACAAACTCATTTTAGACAGTAAATTTCAAGACAGTAAAACATCAAATTCACTCAATATAATTCCCTGTTTTCTTTCCAACACAGTGACAATATTTAGAAAGCAAAACCTGAGCCTCCTGGCTACATAATGAAGATTTTCCACATGGAGCTGAGTTAGATTGTATACTGTAGAAAATGAATTATTCAATGAAATATATATAAGGAAAGATCACTCTGTCCTCTACTTGTAACTCATATGTAATCATGACTTCCCCAATAAATACATTTGTAAATGCTTGTTTCATCTCATGTTTCATCTCTGAATGTAACACAGTTACCCTCAAAATATATTTACATGATTCGCAAACCAATAATAATATTCTAAGCCTCCCAAAACACCTGAATGGACCCCTCCTGTCAGCCAGGGCATTCCAAAATTTACCTGATAAACTGTTTCAGACCATGATGGGAAGGGAGGGACATGCCTCATTATACTCTCTTCCCTTTTGGATTTCAGAAAAAGCTGACCAGCATTAACATCAGCACATACCTTAAATCTGATGAACAACATTTACTGTCTATTCTCTCTGAAGCTTGCAACTGGAGGCTTCATCTGCATGATCAAACTTTGGTTTCCACAACCCTTTATCATCAAAACCCAGAAATTCTTTTCTATTGATTCCAGCTTTTTATATAATAACTTAACTCTTTCAACCAATTGCCAGTTAGAACAATTTTTAATTTACCTATAACCCAGAAGCCCCTGACTCAAATCTTGCCTTTCTGGACTGAACCAATATACATATTAATATGTATTTTATTGATGTCTCATGTCTTCTAAAATGTATGCAACTAGGCTGTGCCCCAACCACCTTGACCACAGGTTCTCAGGATCTCCTGAGGTCTATGTCATGGGTCATTTGTCAGTCATATTTGGCTCAGTATTATCTCTTCAAATATTTTACAGAGTTTGATTCTTTTTGTCAACAGATCTAACATTTATTGAATGTTCCCTATATAGTCCAGGCATATATAAGTGCTTTAAATGTGTTTTCTCACTCAATCCTCTTCACAGTCCTGTAAGTATCCTTAATATCCTCTAACCCTTCCCATTTTACAGAGGAGAAAAGTGAAGCCCAGGAATTGAAAGTTTGGCTTGCTCAATATTTCTCAATTAAAAGTAATGAAATCAGGTCTTGAACCAAGTGTGACTCTATAGCCAGCCTCTTCGCCTCTACATTAAACTCTTCATTTGAAAAACCTTGTGTATTTCATCATATTTTCTCTTGCTTTGAAAATATAACTGCTTTGGAACTGAGCAGGAGTTACAAAGCAAAGAGTAGCAAAATATGCCACTTTTGCGTAAAGATTATTTTTGATCTGAAAGCAATTGGGAAGATACAGGATTAGCTCTCTGCCCTCCCTATTTGCTTAAAAGCAGGACGTATAATTGTCACATTCCCCACCTCCCCAATAACCAGGAAGGACAGAAGTTAATCACCTGAGACAACTCTCTTGTCAATCAGCTAGAGACAGCACCAAGGAATCTACATAACAAATCTGAAGAAAAATAGCCCTTATCTACATCTAGTTTTCCGTATATTTGCCTTCCCACAATTTGCTGCCCCAAGAAAGTGAGTTATGTTCCTTTACCTTGTCACTTCTTGAAACATTTATTGTTCTTTTGTTAAGCTGGTATATAAGCCCCAAGTTCTAACTACCCCCTTAAATTACTCATTTCTGAGTGTCCGTTTGTCTACACAAGAATGCACAATTCACACGGTAATAAGCTTCTGTTTGTTTTTCTCTTATTAATCTATCTCTTGTTAGTCTAATTTACAGAGTGCCTAAGATGGGTTGAGGGAAAAGATTTTTTTTTTCCTCCCTACTGAAACCACTACAAAAGAGGGGCATAGGCTTGATCTATAAAATTCTTTCATGTTTTCACATGTAGAAAATGGGAATAAATTCTAAAGATTATATGTTTTGGCTGAGAAATATATGTATAATTAGAAACAAAGGCACATGCTAGAGTTTCACAATAGAAAAGACCACATATTTTTAAAACAAAAGATATATGGGCCTTGTTACATGTTTTGGCCAGTGTATACCTCCTTGTGAAACTTGGGTCCTTGTTAAATTAGAGACTAGTGGTAAAAACTCTAATTTATAAGTTTTGTGATCAATCTGGTAACTTTATCCAAGAAGACTGAGATGTTACAGAGATATATCAATCATGTAGAAGGTAAACTTCAAATTTTTAAGAAACAGCTTTCAGCACTAACTTCTTATCTCACTGAATCATGTAAATTAAACCCTATAATAACCACATACTTCTTTTCAGGTAATTGTCAGATTGGCTTTTTTAATCTACTCATTAGCCATATTGTTGGCACATGAATTACAGACATTAGAACATCAGAAACAAACTCTGGCAACAACACACAGTGTCCCTCATAAATATTGTTATGTATCTAAATGCCAAGTTATATAAAATTGGCATAGAGAATTCAAATTTTGGTAAGCTAATAAAATTGGTATCCAAAGGCTCCCATTTTTATAACAGGAACACTGTGTATATTCAGCACTTGGATAACAGGCATGGCTGACGTTGTGAATTGGTCCTAACAGAGAGGGAATAGAAAACCCCACCAATGAACCTAGCCAAGAAGTACTGAAGATAGAATGTTAATCCAAACAAGGACTTGCTCTTACTGTCTAATGATAACTATCAGCCAAGTCTTAAGCATGAGAAGATGAAAGAGTCTGGAAGATAAGGTAAAAAGCTATCATGAAAAGAAAATAGAAGGAAAGTAAAGAGTGGATAAAACTGGAAAGAAAACAGTGAATGTAAAAAAGATAGCTGGTAGTCTTGTCCCTTGGAGGTACGGAGAGACTAAGAAAAACACTTTGAATAAAAAGTAGGCGAAAGAGATGGCCTTAAACAAAACAAATACAGCCATAAACGCATGTTCATAACAGAATTAACTGGCACATAAAAGCTCTCACAAAACATTTGTGAGAGGGGTTTTGTTTTGTTTTGTTTTACATTTTTATAATTGCCATTGAGAAACTGATGTTTGTAAAGATGATCCTGATTTGGGGGTCCTGTGAAATAAAGTTGAGTATGATCTGTTTAAGACAGAACAGAAAACAATACATTTGCAGAAAGAAATTTCATCCAAGTGGAATAAAGTTATACCAATTAAAGAGAAATTTGTCTGTTACCTAAAAGTCTCATGGTTCTGCATTTCCTGGTATACTTGGCTTGCTGTGTAACAAATACATCACAATTGCTCAGAAATGGCTTCACGTGTATTATTTAGACTTTCTGTAATTTCACCATATCTGCAACTACAAAAGGAAATTATGTAATTTACAAAGAGAAACTTCTAGCAATAAAATTAGAAATGAATTTTTGAGGAAATGTTAATGGTAGTTTTACCATATGATATGGAGAACATTTATTTTATTACTGACATTTAACACATAAAATACAGTGCATAAATAATACAATCCCTTATGTACTTTTTAAAATGACATTTGCTCATAAAAGTAGAAAAGTATTACTTTTTGTTTGTTTGTTTGTTTTTTGAGACTGAGTCTTGCTCTTGTTGCCCAGGCTGGAGTGCAATGGCACGATCTCAGCTCACAGCAACCTCTGCCTCCTGGGTTCAAGCGATTCTCCTGCCTCAACCTCCCAAGTAGCTGGGATTACAGGTGCCTGCCACCATGCCCAGCTAATTTTTGTATTTTTAGTATAGACGGGATTTCACCATGTTGGCCAGGATGGTCTCAAACTCCTGATCTCATGATCCCCCTGCCTTGGCCTCCCAAAGTGTTGGGATTACTGTTGTGAGCCACCACACCTGGCCAAGTATTACATTCTTAAATCAAAATCGATAATTGAAAATTCAGATTCTTTTGATAATTAAAAAGACTTAATTTTATCTGTCAATAGCTGAATTGATCAAAAAACTCTAAAGGTGGCAGCCACTGAGCATAATTTGAGATGCATCAGGAAAAATTATTTCCTTCCTCATTGCACCAAAAATTACGGAAAAATGTCTGTGTCCTTTTTTTTTTTTTTTTTTAAGAAAAATGCTAAGTTTTTACATGTCTTGTGCATGGTTTGGCATGGGGGAGGAAGCGGGAGGAAGGTCTATAGTCTTTACAACTAAAGATCAGGAACCAGAGAAGCTGGAAGCGAAACTGAAACTGTGATAGTCATCAAAAGCAGTTAAGGCATGTTTTCATTCTTAACCACCCTGCTATTTCTCTTTAATCATGCTGTTAGACAATCAATTGTACTTAATTGTCATAATCACAGTGGTTGAAAACTTCGAGTCTACCTGCACAACACAGCAACAGCTACGAAAACATAATTAAATTCACAGAGAAAACTGCATCATTTTTATAAGCAACTTGAATAAGCTTTCACAGTGGTAGAAATGAAAAAAATCTACATCATGCTAGAATGAATGCGTTAAAGAAAAAGATATAATGGTTTTCAAAAACCTGACAACTATTCTGAATGACAAAATGAGCTAGTGCATTGATTTTTTATTTTCCTGCTGATAGCTTACAGGTATTATTTAGTAATTTGAATAAAACCTTCCTTGTTTAATTGCAGCAGATTCTCTAGCTTTTGTACCTGCTGATCAGTGCGTGTTCACGTGTAAAAATCCAAAAGGGTGATTTTTTTGGTAGTGGTTTTCAAATAGAAGGATAGTTTTGTCCCCATTTGAAAATACCTATTTGCATGAATAAAAGTAAAAAGCTATTGGTTATAAAATTATTGTATTTCATATAACTTAGGACATCTATAATTAATGATTATAAGAAGAACCAATAATTCACGCTCTACTGAAAATGAGAAAAAGTTGCTGATTTGACTGATTATCCATTCTTACTACAGTGTCTGGAGTTTTTGTCTTAAATATTGCAGAACACTTTTAAATTTAGCTAACATCTTTAGCATATCACGCTTGTGTATACATTAAAAGGGAAATATAAACCAAAAAAAAAATTGTTAGAGTATTCTCAAAACATTTTTACTCTCAGAGTACAGTTTTCCTGAATGCCTTTTCTACTCATAACCGTGTATATCTATGTTTTTCCCATACAATATCATCCGAACAATATCGTCAACAACATTGGTGATATGTACTTCTCAAAATACTGCTGCCTTAATGTCTGCAGTGGTTTGTTGTTGTTGTTGTTTTATTGTTTTTGCCCTAAGACATGCTTCTTGCAAGTTTAGATTTGGTATTTTCTTGACCATACACATGGGACTAA